GCGCTCACGGTGGCGAAAAATTTGTAACTCATTTGACTTAGGTTTCGACTTTGGCGCGACTGACACATGGCTTCTGTGTGCAATGTTTGTGATCACAAATTACCCTTACGCCGGATTGGATATGCCTGGACGCTAATGAGGCTACAGAGTCCCAAATGAGGTACGAGAAGCACCACCTGAAACACCAGCTGATGTGTGATCGGCTAGGGATATAAGCTTTTGCCGGATTGCGTCTCCGATGACCTTCCTCCAGCTACCTTGGGGGTATGAGGTGTAAGGCATAGAACGAGGAGTGACCGATGATGATAGGGTGCTTGAAGACGTATGCTTAGCGTGTCCCAGTGTCGAATGAGTTACACTGAACCAGGTTAAAGAAATTGGCCGACCGCCTTACCGTCAATGTCAAGTTAAGGAAGGCGAGAGTCGGAGAAAAGGTAGACATGAACCTGATTCCAGCAAAGTGCACAGCCGTGAGAACCCCTCAGACAAAAAGAGTAGAGAGGCTAGGCTCCGCGCTAAAGCAGGAGGTCAAAGAGTATTATTCAGAAATTGAGCCCGGAAGGCCGGATACTTCGACAAAGTTACACGTATCCAGAACAGTGTTAGACTTAACAGTGACCTAGTCACCAAGAACAACCACCTCTTCCCCACCCAGAGAGCACTTTACATCTAGAGACATGGCTCAGGTCAAAATTGCATCATTTAACGTGCGTCCCAGAAAGTTAATTTGGCAAAGTAACTTCCCGACCTAAATATTCCTGTGACCACAAAGAAACGATGCAAACATCTTAGGTGTACCTGCCTTTGGAAAGACATTTGTATGATTTTGTTACAACAGAATAATGTGAAACTGCCCCAACCATAGAACGATTCTTACGCAACTTGCGTTGAGTATGGTCACGTCCGCCTTGACTTAAAAGAGCTTGATCACCTCCCCGTAGCCGTATTCAGATGCTTTGGCGATGGCAATGAAGACCGCAGAGACAGGTTTACCTTTCGACTCGAGGCCGGCCCATCTCGAAGAAGCGCGGCACATATGCGCCCTTTCGACGATATTGGTAGGCGTACTAAACTGTGAGAGAGATCTCTCCCACCGAAAGACTCAGTAGATGTTCGATCCTGATCAACTAGTTGCGATGGGGCGGAAGCGAAAGTTCTTCATTAGTGGGAGAAGGAAAGGCTTTGTGCTGGTTAGTTAAGGCCGCGGCACATACGGCAGTCTCCCCATGAAAACCCGGTGCCACGCTAACAGATGATAAATCAGAATTCTTTACGCATAGGGAAGGTACAAGATTAGTGGTCAAAATTCTCGCTTAGTCAATTTGGTGAAAATTTAGAACTGACGTTCAATATTTAATTGATGTGATATTATTCCCTTCAATATCGAATTATAGTTACCAAACATGTAGCTTTATATTAAAATGAGGGGACTTTACAAGAAAACTGAGGGAAGAATAACGGTACCCAAAAAAGGGAGTGAATTCAACAGCTCCCAAGATATACCGCAAAATAGATCGAAATTCTTAAAATGCCCGGTGTTTTTTGCAAAAATTTTACATTAAGACGATAACTTATTTGTTTCGAATTGTATGCAAATCTCCTTCTTTGCCGGTTAAACAGTAGGACTTAAGCCTTCTTCGTTCGCTCCACTCTTTCCATAGCTTAATTAAAATGGCCGACACCAATAATTACATCGTGTCCACGCTAGAAAATTTACAAGATATGGCACTGCAACTTACAATAAGATCTCCGTCGAGGTGACATATGTTTTCTCCCTTTGGAGATAAATTCTATTAAGTTTTTGAGTATGCAATTTTCGGCCAAGGAAGTAGCTTTTGCCTACACGTCAAAACAGATTTTCACTACGTAAAGAGAGGCAGGACCATTAAAAAGTGTGCATGTAATGCGTACAAGAAGAAGGCATCATGTCAAATCCACCGACCATCTACGAAAGGAGGAATAGAGCTTTTAATGAAGTTAGTTGGCCGAACGAAATTTTTTTCTGTCGAGAAGCAGTACTCACCGGCTTGGAAGGTTATAAGTTAGTATCTTGAACACCTTCAGGTAATCGAAGATGAGCATTTGTGTTGAATATAGCAAGACGTACCAGCCGCGCGCCAAGTGTGTCTTGCAAAGAAAAAAGGCTTTATATAGTGGTACAAAGCCAATTATTCTTGGCCACAATCGTCACCGTTCAAAACCGAGTAAGGATACACTGATAAGTATCATTTCTTCGGGATCTTGGTAATCTGTTATCCTTGCCGTTGTTTGCGTGATGCCCGTGCTCAATATGAGTGACCATCGCACGTTAACACAAGGTCTGCGATGCACATTAGTAGGTATGAACCACTTCGGCAGCTTCAAGAGGTATACCCAATCTCATTGTGTCCATGAGATCTGTGCAATCGCACGCTAAAGATGTGGCTGAAGCGTGCGACTACACCAGGTTTTGAGCACTGCTATAATAGATTTGTAAGTGCTTATTGTGGCCGTGGTTCTCAGTATTTGCGACGCGTAATGGCTTACCTAAAAGCATCACCGGAATTGATGCCTCTTACTGTCCAAATTTAACTTTTACAAATACGACGGAACGTCAAGCCAAATAGATTGCGGAAATACTTTCCCAGGGAAACAAAGAAGGAGTTAATCCTACCGACCTGCGAGGATAGAGGGATACAAACATCTGAAAAAAGGACATAGTAAGTAATCGTATGAATGCGGGCTTTTGCGATAAAACACCATACATTCAAAAAAGGGACTAAGTAGGTAGATACCTCTACTTGCTACGTGGGTACCCACTGGATAAAAGATGTTACATCTATCAATTAGTGCCTGGTCCCTTATTAACTACGTGGATACACTTGGAATAAAATGTAGAGAAAAATTATTCTGATTACCGATGCCTCTAAATGCAACACGAACACCCCTTGGATAAAGATATAATAATTTTTTACGATGCCATTGCCGACTAATGCTATCGTAATTAGGGAGATAACGACAGTGAAAAAAAGGATGTTCCAGACTCTAGTCCACTCCACTACTCACATTATTACATCTCACGTTTTGTGTATTAATTGTTTTTGTGATCTCGTTTTACTTTAAGATAAACTTTTTCTGATACCATGTTTTAGTTGTATCTAAGAGTGACTCACGGCCTAACGTACGTGGCCATGAAAAATAATAGGGAAGAGCAAAAGGTAGCTTGTGGTAAGAGGTAAATCGATGAACAAGCTACGAACTGCACTTTTTCTGATATTTGGTCCTGACAGTTCGATCATACGTTCGAACCTTAACAGAACGTTTTTTCAAAGGTTCTGCACAGATGTATGGGCCACCGCCAATCGACACTGTCACCAAATCTGTAAAAGAGGCAGAAAATGCAATTATCTCAAACGTCTTCTCCCAGAGATATGCAGCGAAGCGGTTGAGATTGAAGTTGTTATAGTGGATTGTAGATTGTGTAGGGAAGTTAAAGCTAGAGATGTGCAACAAAGCGATTGAGATCGAAGTTGTTATAGTGGATTGTAGATTGTGTAGGGAAGTTGAAGCTTACAGGTCAGCATTGTCAATCAGCTATTGTTTTAGCTCTGCTCTGTACCTGGAGATGCTATAGCAGCGTACAATAACACACCGGCGAAACGTCTACATCAGTAGTAATGAACGATAAAATGTATGGTGAAGCAATTGGATTTCTGCATCAGTGTAAAATTTCTCAGTAATTTTTATACCGATATCTGGAGTTGGTAAGGCCGCCGGTGCAGCTGTCAAACCTGCGATAAATCGGACGGCAATACTACACTGTGCACAATACCAACATCGAGTCATCGAGTGCAATAGGGATGACCACAATCACGTACACTGGGCGGACCGGCGCTGTCTCTGTGGCTTATACGGAATATCGCAATATTCATTAGGAGAGGAAAGTCATGTATTAAGTTTTACGAGCTCACCGGCTCAATAAGATATTACTAAAAAATATCGAGGGAGGTGTCCACGTAGCAAGGAGGGGAGGGGAGTCTGCCTTGTCAGCCTCTTGAATAAATTCCTGATATATTTTGCTACTATAAAACTTTGTCGCGCAATTAAGAATCCAGAATATATTTTGCTAGCGTAATATCTGTGTCGTGCAAAGGCTCATCCCGTTTCGTACGACTGCCGGATCATATTGCCTATAAGAAAAATTTCAGGAGAAACCTGCATCGTACTAGTTCAGTGTGGAGATCCGGCATGCGTTTCAACCAACCGTCACTGAATATGCGTCGTCATTACGAACAAGCTTCGGTAGCGTCTCTTCCCACATTCTTATCGTATTTATTTCCATATTGTAAATACGCGCAGGGTTTGCAGAAGCGACTTGGTACCAAATGCAAAAGACCCAATTACCTATCAAGACGGTGCAATCCGCAAAGCGCCACGCAACGACTACGATATAGCGCCCACGAGCTAAATAGCATCTATGAGATAGCGGATTGGTGTGCCCATGCCTTTACTCGGCGTGGCAGTGCAGCTGCAGTGTAACGGGGTGAATCGTTACATAACAATTTATAAGAAATTGTTAATAGAATATAACTATAAGAGTTATATTCTCAGAATATTGTCATAAGGACAAATATTCTGCAGCACTTACGAGTAGTTCCTAATTGGATGATATAGGCCATTATATCAACCAACGAAGACGCGCCACGACAGACGCACGCAATGAGTGGTGAGCAGATAGTTGATTTACACATTTGTATTTAGACATAGTTAGATGAAGATAAATAGTGATTTATTGCGGACATTAACTATTATAAATACAGTTCTACTTTTTACTTTAACCAAGTACTCGCTTCTTCTTACCGTCTTCCTCTGCACGTACGAGTGTACTTGAAGTTACGAGGCACCGCCTTATTCTGTCATCAGAATAAGTAGCTTGTACTGTCACCAGTACAAGCTTCAGGGTGCCCCGTTACACCTGGTAGCACTTCGTAGTCCGTCCAAGGACCGCGTTCACATCCAACATGAATATGTTGGATGATGAAGATGACCAAAGCTTTCACGCTACGCGTGACGGCTACTCCCATTTGAGCAATGTCGAATGGGATGCGGTTGAACGGATGGGTTCAACCATGGGCATCCATGCTGTTAGCGACATGCTAGAAGCTCTCAATAGAGATGCCCAACATGCTACTATCGCCAAGTTCATTCAAAATGAACTTGACGCAGAAAGCGAGAAAGTAGCCTTGCTTCACCAACAAGGCTCTCAACAAGCAGAGTTGTTGAGAGAACAGGGTGCTCAACAGTTTGAACTGTTGAGACAGCAGCAGGATGCTGCTGGCGGGTCGATGCACTCGCGTCGACCCGAGACTTTAAAGATTGACATCTCCAAGTATAGGGGGGTCGAAGAAGACTCCCTCTTGAGATGGTTCGTCGAATTGGATGACGCCATAAGGGCGCGTCGCATCGACGACGGGGATATGCAAGTTGCATTTGCCCAGTCAAATCTGGCAGGACGTGCCAAGACTTGGGCACTGGGGCTCAAGTTGCACGACCCATATGCGTTTGGGTCGTTGGAAGTCTTCAAGTCGCGGCTCAGACAAACGTTTGCACCGCCTAGAGCTGAGTTCAGAGCTCGAACCGAACTCTTGAAGCTCAAACAGGGTAAGCGTGATGTGCACGCTTACGCGCAACATATACGACATCTCACGAGTTATATAAGTTCCAATCCGGTGGATGAACACACGATGGTTTCGGTGTTCATGCAGGGTCTTGCGGATGGTCCCGTCAAGACTCACCTGTTCCGGCTTGAACTAGATTCACTAGAACAAGCCATTTCCATTGCGGAACAGGAAGACTTCAGTCTGAGACAGGCTCGCGCCAGCTCGACATCATATCGTCGACCGAGACGATATGACAACGGAGGTCCAGAGCCGATGGAACTCTGTTATGTAGAGAGCGAGAATTCTCGCTCTACAGACTACAAAAGGTTGCAGAAATGCAACAGATGTCAGAAGACAGGACACTACGCTTATGAGTGTAGTGCCCCTCGTCCAGTGTCTCGCAACACTGGGCGTAGTGACCGTCCACCCATGAGAAAGGGGCAGGGACGCGGGTCCGCTGTTGGTGCGAAGACGCAACAACGGGATGGATCGTCAAAAAAACGGTCAGGATCAGTAGGTGCGGAGCACCCTACTGGTCCAGCAACGTCAAGAGAATTTGTAGGCCTCTTGATGAAGGTTGCTCCCAACACACAAACGTTGCGTGTTGCTGCTCTAGGTAATGAGGACTCACTCATTACCTTGAAACTCGAAGTGACAAATGAGTTGTCCCTTCGAGCTCTAGTCGATTGTGGGGCGTCCAACAATTTTGTGCGACGCCAATCGCTAGAAGATGGTCACTTCAAGTTCAGTGAATGTGACACACCTCCTACGAGGATGACGGTACGTCTTGCGAGAGGCGCATCCGTAACCGTCATGAAGCGTATAGTGAAGATCCACTATACGCTAGAAGATACCCAATATGACGATGAATTTATCGTATTGGATTTGGATGACAAATTTGATGTCATCCTTGGAATACCGTGGCTCAGAAGGTACGAACCACGAGTAAACTGGCAACATCGGACAGTAACGATGCCTGCCGCTTGTTCATCAGATGGCCATCTGATGAACGTTTTGGAGCGTCCACAAGCGTGTGGGGATGTACTACGAGTGAGTGCGATGGCCTCACTTGTGGTACGGCCGTTAGTACGACTGCACAAAACCTTAGTGTACCAAACGGTTACACTTTGGAGCAAAGTTCCGGCGGCTGTGAGGAAACACAGGCTGCGCCGAAGGTCCACCACTCGAATAAGTCGAGTGGACCGGGACAAAGATGTATCCTTAGCGGGGAACATCTAGAAGAGAAACAATCGATCGCTCAGGTTAAGCGAAACGATAATCCTAGATCGACTGGAGAGTCTTTCGTAGAGGATCTCGCTGTGGTTGCGCAACCACAGCTAGAGGAGGTAAAGCGAATAAGTCCCGATATTACAAATACGGCGGAAATAAGTTCCCCGAAACCCGCGGGGATAAGTCCCCGGGAAGCCGAAGGAATAAGTCTGTGGGAATAAGTCCCCAGGAAATGACAGAGACATTGAATGTCATGATCAATAACGGATCAAGTGTAGGCGCTTATACACTTGATCTGATTGCGTTTCCGAAGTTGACTTCGGAGATCACTCAGTTGCCAACGCTCGAACATAAAAGGTTCTTGCGTGATCTGCGTAGTGGCAAAGTCAAGCAGATCTGCGTACTCGTCGCTGACGACGAGTGTGTAACCGACATAAGGTCAGCAACAGTCTTCACTGAGAACGAGAGAGTTCTCAGTAGTTCATCTATGGACGAGAGTGTCCTAGATGAAAAGACACGAGTTGAGCGATATGACTCCCAATCGTGGGAATCGCTCAAGACAAATCCTCTCTATGAAGATTTGGTTGAATTCAAGGATGTATTCCCTGAAACTGTTCCGTGCGAATTACCGAAGGATAAAGGTATTCGACACGAGGTCGAGCTTAAACCAGGCTCGAAGTACTGTGTCATGAAGCAGTGGCCACTGCCTCGTGAACAAGTACTTGCGAACGACAAGTTCTTTGCCGATCGTTTAGCTGCGGGCCATGTGAGGGAATCAACTTCCCCACATAGCTCTCCGACCTTCTGTGTGCGAAAAGCAACAGGAGGGTGGCGGATTATGCATGCATTTAACAAGTTGAATGCTGCAACGGTACCGGCACAGACGCCGATACCGAGGAAGGACGTAATCATAGATGGTATGTCAAAGAGTACCATCTTTTCGTCCATGAATCAGATAGATAAACTCTATCAAATCCTTATGCGAGAACGGGATATACCCTATACCGCAGTTATCACGCCTAGCGGCATGCTCTGGGAATGGCTAGTAATGCCACAAGAGGCTTAGTAATGCCCCTGCCACGTTCAACAGATGTGTATCACATCTGTTGGGACCAGTACGAGAATTTGTGCCGAGTTATTTCGATGACGTATTCATCCACAGTCGAGCTATGGATGGAAAGTCGGACGTTGAGGTTTACAGGTACCACGTCCGACAGGTTCTTACAATCATGCGAAAGCATCAATTGTATGCAAACCTCAAGAAGTGTGTATTTGCAGCAAGCGAAATACCACTTCTTGGGTGCATCGTTGGTAAGAACGGTGTACGTCCTGATCCCGAAAAGATCAAGGCGGTCACCGACTGGCCTGTGCCAGTCGATGTCAAAGGTCTTCGAAAATTCCTTGGGCTAGCGGCGTATTTGCATAAGTATTCACGCAATTACGCCGAGATAACTGTGCATCTCTCTCGTTTGTTGAAAAATAACGAGAGGTGGTTATGGAACGCTGAATGTCAGCGCTCCTTTGATGGTATCAAGCAGAGCTTGATACAATCCCCAGTCCTAGCAATAGCCGATCAGGACAGGCCATTTCATGTGGTCTGTCATGCCAGCGATTTCGCAATCGGCTGTGCATTAATGCAGTACGACCTTGAAGGCGTTGAACGCGTCGTCTGCTATCAGTCGCGTCAGCTGCAACCAGCTGAGCGGAACTATCCAGTGCATGACAAGGAACTCCTTGCCATGAAGTATGCACTCGCGAAGTTCAGAGTCTATCTATTAGGAGATAGACCCTTCATTGTTTACACTGACCATGCGTCATTACGCACGGCAGTGAACAGCCCGCACCTTTCTCAACGAATGGCGCGGTGGTTGTCATTCTTTGCGGAATACAACTTTACGGTCGAGTACAAACCAGGACGACTTAATGTCGTCGCTGATGCACTCTCACGTCGTCCCGACTTTGACCCAGTCGTGAAACCCAACAGTGAGACAGTCACTGTTGCGGTTATGACGTCCTCAGTCCCATCTACAACGTTGTATGATGATGTGAGGCGGGCATACGCCCAAGATGGTGAGATAGTGAAGTTGTTGACACATCTCTCCCAACCATCCCGAGAATCGTTGAAACGATTATCGTAGGCGTATCATTCTTCACCAGATCGATACCTACTCGCGACGGGTTTACTGTATTATACAGCCGTTTCTGGTGACACACCACGTGTTGTCATTCCAGATGATACTGATCTTCGTTTGCGGATCATGTTCGAGTATCACGATGCTCCTATAGGAGGACATCGTGGCCGAGAGAAAACATATCTCACGGTAAGTAGAGACTTTTACTGGCCCCGCCAGTATCAGTTTGTGCGAAAGTATGTTCGCGCATGCGAAGTCTGCCAACGAGTGAAGTCAAGTCCTTCACTTCGTGCACCTTTACAGCCTCTACCGGTTCCGGCTGAGTGCTGGGAATCCATCTCAATGGATTTCGTCTTCGGGTTACCCAAAGACGCACGCGGGAATACGGGTATTCTCGTATTTGTTGACAGATTCAGCAAAATGGTACACCTTGTGGCTGTACCAGAGACAATCACGGCAAGTGGCTGTGCTTGTGTCTTTATTGACACCATCTTCCGACTTCATGGGTTGCCCCGTGAACTCGTATCAGACAGAGATCCACGATTCACTGCTGATTTCTGGCGTTCCGTGTTCAAATCACTCGGAACGCGCTTGAAGATGTCAACATCTGATCATCCAGAGTCAGATGGTCAGACGGAACGTGCCAACCGTGTCCTTGAAGAGATACTTCGAGGATACGTACACTCCTTTAAGAGTTGGAGTGAGTTTTTGCCAATGGTAGAGTTTGCCATTAACAACTCGGTGCATGCGTCCACGACACATACACCGTTTTACGTGAATGGCTTGCGCCATCCGCGTGTACCCACCTTACTAGAGTGTAACTCTGGTTTAGGGGGGGAGGGACTCGCGCGAGCAAAAACCGATTTGGTTCACGCTCATCACGCTCTGACGAAGACGTCATTGCGTTTGATGCCGATATCGATAACATCGATGTCGAAGAAGTTGATTCCAGTGAGAGTGCGGAAGCCCTCACTGAAGAAGATGATGCCAGTGAGAGTGCAAAAACCCTTACTGAAGAAGATGATCCCAGTGAGAGTGCGGAAGCCCTCACTGAAGAAAAGGTTGATGTTGCTGCAGTGCGCTCACAGCACACTGAAGCTAACGAGTCATCAGATGAGTTCATACTGGCTCGTGAAACGGTAGTCCGTTTTGTGCAAGACTCCATCGCCGAAGCGGTGGATAAGCAAAAGCAAAACGCTGACAAGAATGGAAGGGCAAACATTTTTTTATTTAATAAAGGTGACTTAGTCCTACTGTCTACGGTTAATCTACCAAAGCATGTAGTGACTAACTTGGGTAGCAGTAAACTACTACCCAAATACATCGGCCCATTTCGTTTATTGCACCGCCTAGGCAATGCATACACGATCGAGTTACCACGTACGATGCGAACGCATCCCACGTTTTACGTTGGTCGGCTTAAGCCGTGCCATCAGTACGCTGCTTCTTCCGATGAAGAACGCCCTTGCGCTCAAGCATCTCGCAGAGAGCCTTGTGCTCCCGATGGTGGGCATCAACAAGGGTCTGAAGAGCAGCTATCTCATCCCGAGACCGATCAACAATCCCACGATCTACCCTTAGCTCGTCACGAAGAGATGTCAGAGATCTCTCGTTCTCGAGCTGAGCAAAGGCAAACTCAGCTCGATGCTTCGAGGCAGTGTCCGCCATTTGGAGACGCCCATTCCGCTCATGTTCGAGATCGTCGCGTAACCCTTGCGTTACGCGATCAAAGAAGCTCTCGGGAACACACCGATCCACATGATCGTGTGGAGAGCGTCTTTCCTCCTCCTCCACCTCCATTAGAGGACTCTCGCGGTGGCCAGCGCTATCTGGTTGAGCAGCTGTTGAAACACCGCGACGTGAACGGACGTCGGACGAGTTATCTCGTCTGGTGGCGCGGCTATCCCCCGTCCTGGGATACTTGGGAGCCCCGCTCCCAACTGATGGTTGACGTACTGGGTCCGGTCGAGCAGTACGATGAGGCACATCCTGTGCCGCAGAAGGACCGCCGGAGAAAGTCTTCCCGGCACGGTCGTAAAGGGAATTTAGATTGTCAATCCCTTCGTACATCTCAGTAGAGATACGTACGCGCCACCACGGGCTAGTAAGGAGGTAAGCCTCCTTAGGTGCTCGTGCAGATTTGTTCACACAACATGGGCACGAGTCTCCCCAAGAGAGGCAGGGTAAGCCTTTCTCCCTAGACAGACGATACAGCTTGTAGCGTGCACCTGTCGGGGTTCGATTTTCAAACTTATCACGAGCTTTGATAAGTTTGTCGTTCCAAGCGTCACGACCTACATCCTCAAGGTTACAGATGTAGGCGTTCCACGCTTGAAGCAGTGAGGGACCATCACGTTTGTGATTCCCACTGTACCATCGATGTCTGAAGAAAGCATCGATGAAGAATTCATGTTCAGCGCGATAGTTTTTCGCGCTGGGGTCAAGGTGATGGATCCTTGACGAATCGAACAATCGTGTTCGATAACGATCACTAGTCGTCGCCGACAAGTGATCCATGACGGATTTAGGAGGCATCCATGCCTTCTTTTCAGGAGCGAGACGCAACACATTGCGGTCCCGCTCTTCCTGCGACGTGCCGACAGAAGTGCTGGCGCCTCGCTGTGAAGTGGTGTCCATAGGAGAACCGACACCACTGTTAGCGCCCGAGTCTCACGACCTCGAGCGCCTTCGCTTCGGCGATGGTTCATCTGATTCATCAGATGAACCAAAGATGCTACGGCGTATAGCATCATCCATGCCACGCTTGGCAGGCGGCTTGGATTCGATCGCCGTCGATACGGATCCGTCTTCCGTATCAGGAGAGTATGAGACACCGAGCTCGTACTCTGTGAAGACACGAGTGTCTTCATGACCAGCGCCTGCATCACCAGGTGACAAAGGCTGAGTCGCTTCAGCAACCGATGAGACATCAGTTGCTGCGGTTTCTGCTTCGGCGTCCGCACAGAGACGTGCGGACGCGCTCTCAGCGGCCTTTTCGCGCACCGCCTTGGCTTGTTAACCATGCGATGAATTGTTGGAAAGTGGACTCGAACCAACAAGTGCAAACCCTGTCCCAAATGATTTGGGACGAGTATCCATTTAGTCAATCAGTCACTAAAGTGACTGATGGTTAAGGGGGGTGATGTAACGGGGTGAATCGTTACATAACAATTTATAAGAAATTGTCAATAGAATATAACTATAAGAGTTATATTCTCAGAATATTGTCATAAGGACAAATATTCTGTAGCACTTACGAGTAGTTCCTAATTGGTTGATATAGGCCATTATATCAACCAACGAAGACGCGCCACGACAGACGCACGCAATGAGTGGTGAGCAGATAACTGATTTACACATTTGTATTTAGACATAGTTAGATGAAGATAAATAGTGATTTATTGCAGACATTAATATTATAAATACAGTTCTACTTTTTACTTTAACCAAGTACTCGCTTCTTCTTACCGTCTTCCTCTGCACGTACGAGTGTACGTGAAGTTACGAGGCACCGCCTTATTCTTTCATCAGAATAAGTAGCTTGTACTGCACCAGTACAAGCTTCAGGGTGCCCCGTTACATGCAGATAGGAGAATACCCTCATGCCGCTAAAATGCGAGGCAGATGCCATGATATCTAAGTTTGTGGTGTACTCCACCCTTGATATCGATGGTCTGTGCGCTTCTTTTATTGTGGGATAAACAGCTGTAGCCCCGCACGTGCAGCCCTTGTCTCTACTGCAACCATCATCGCATCACACGAGCAAAGTGATGAATTTCTTTGTGCACACATAATTCGTCTTTTTTGGACATTGGTGCACGCAACGCTGTGTAGTTGATGCAATGCCCGTATTGATGAGCACCAATGCTGCGCTTCCGAGTATCGTGTCAGCAACAGGATGGTATCGAAGCTTATAGCTGATGCATAAGTACCACCAGCGTGAATAGGCACGGATCTGGTGTAGTGCAAAACCTGTGAGGTGCTCCTGCGATGCTTGTAGCTTGTTATACGATACAAAGTAGCAACATTCACCCCAACAATTGTATGAGCAGCAACTGCTAGAAAACATGGCCCCACCTCGCAGCCGAAAATACGGTCGGTTGCAGCTCTTAAGTGCTGCACGTGCATTTGCCAGTCAAAGGTCAAACAAGCTTGTGCTCGGGCAGGTTGCGTTCTTGAGAAAGCCCAGTTCAACTTACAATTCCAGATCCGCTCAAGTCCGTCGTGAAACGATTAGTCGATTTGCTATGAGTCAGTAGCTAGACAAATGTCTGGTTACTCACACACCTGGACGACAGGCGCCAGGAATGTTTACGCCTGTGACTCATCTCTTTTTCGGTGGGTCGTCAAACATCCATTTGATTGCAGAGACGGCTGCAGTGGTACTTCCGATCTTGCGTGAGATGCATGGCGATGACCCTTTCCAGCAAACTTTGCGATCGATTATCGTTTCGGGCTTAACATCGTGACGTTAGCAGTGCCTGTCTCGTGCCACACCGGATGTCTCGTTGCCAATGTTTCGTTGTATAAAAACACGTTCGACGCTGGACACGAAGAACTCTTAGAGTGCATATATTCGCTACTGAGTAAATGCTCTAACAGCTTTCATTCATCTAGCCCTCCAGTAAAGTTGCTGCCCGGGACTCCATCACACGGGTCACACCTCCAGCAAGAGTTGCCATAAGCGCATACTGGGATTCCGACACTTCGCGGCTTTTGCCAACGTGAATACAGCAGAACGTCCCGACGGCAGTGGAGCCACCACCTTCCGGGTAATCGACCTTGACCGGAAAGCCAAAGTAAAAGCGTATGCCGTCGCGACGCACTACGTTCATCGAACTGAAACGTACATCCGCTTCCGGATGGGGAACCAGTAGTGGGTAGTCGTTTATGAGGGCGTGAGCACATATAGTGTGATCACGAGGAAGCTGCCCTCCTCGCCAAGCCGGTTCAGAAGACGCCACGACGTGCGCGACTTGATAACCGATGAGGGTAACTACCACCGCATCGCACTTTAGTTCTCCACAAGCGATATTGCAGAGTAGCTCCAGATCCGGGAGGTTCATCATGTACGAAACAATGTTTGGATGTTCTTCAATCCAGTGCAGTCGTTGGCTTTCATCAGCTGGTTTCGGGTAGTGCGCAGCATCGACGACCTTGCTGACTTCGCCAACACCCAAGTCATCTTCATCATTTTCAGGAACCTCGAGGTCTTCAGTATCTTGAGCTCCTTCAAAATCATCCGTGTCCGCTACACTGCTCTCGCACCTATTTGCATGTTGCAGCTCATATTGACGTCCCCCGCCGTCCGCGACAGGATAGAGGTCATGACCCGACGGAACTTTAGGAGTGACTTCAGGCACTACCTGTGGCTCAAAATGCATCAGCTCGCCCGAAAATCCATGCTCCTTTGACAACTGAACGAGTCTCATGGTCAACTCACTAGAGTCCGCTCGGAAGTTGCCGCTGTTTGTTGAGCTGATGATGTGCTTGATGACTCGGACGACTACAGACTTCTCTTCTTCGGAAGTTGTACTAAGCACTTGACTTAGCGAGTGTGCGATCACCGCGCTCACTGGCTCCACATTCGGCCCATCAGGCTGGATTAAGGAAGGCGTCGTGCTGCCTTCAGTGGCGCAGTAGCTGTCGTAGTCAGCGTCGTCAATGCGCTGCATGCAATGCTCGCATACGTGTACTGCTTGGCTGTATTTGACCCCTGTCTTCGAAGACCGAGACGTCTCGCTCGACGCCGGCGCTTGGCCGGTCGAGCGTACACAACGAGCACAGACAAGGAAGCCGCACAAGTGGCACCGCTTCGAGCGTCGCAACGACGCCATGCCTGCTTTTGACATCCCAAAGATGCTCTTTTTGGCATCCACGCGACGCGCGCAGCACGCACAGCGGGTGTTTGTGGGCTGCACCTTTCGCAAGTCAGCAAACACTTGCGCATCGAGTCGACGCCAGCGGACAGCATTCTGGTACTGCTTCAATGACCGTGCAAATTGCATGACCCGTGCCAGCACCACGCCGCTTGAGGCATGATCACGATTCCGGCGGTTCTTCGTCGGCAAGAGCCACCGCAAGGGTGCAGGTCTCCCGGAGCTTAAAGTGAAGGGTACGTGAGCGCAAAAGGTTACTCGGACAGCTCGCTTCGTTCGTCCTGCTTTCGTCGTCTTTTGCGGCTCAGCAGTGACGAGGTAGAAACCCGTGAAACCCTGGACATGAACGACGTTGGCAGCTTGGACTTTACCCGAGAACACGTCGTCCGGGTGCTGCGACGCTATTGTGACCGTGAACCCCTCCGCTTGGCTCTTCTCCAAGGTCTTATGAGCACAGACAAAACACCATTGTTGATTGCGTGCCAGCATGTGGCGCTTCAAAAAGGCTGCTGTCCGGACCGTCACGTCCTGCGTCGTCACTTCTTTCGCGTGGTGCACGATCGTCCCGTAGATAAAGTCCCGACCGAACAGTTCGCGCATCACCCAAGCGTAGCGTTCACTCGTGGGCGATACCAATAGGCCCCGCATCTCGGCAAGCGAGCATTCGATGACACTCGTTGCAGTCACGATGGTGCCGTCAATCACATGCTCCGTCATGACACCACTGGACTCACAACGTCGATACTGCAACTCGTCCAGGTCAAACCGGGTTGCTGCTTGAGCTGCCAATTCGGCCAGACGTCGGTCGCTGGATCGTACGTAGCGGCGCTCCGAACCGTCAGCATTAACGTCCATTGTCAGTCTTTTTCGGCAGGTGTAAGGTTGGTTTGTGCTGTCGTGGACCGATTGAGTTGTGCCTTGGCTCATGTGAAGAGTTCGGGGCACGACTTGCCATGGGCTTCACGATCCCAGTCGCAGTAAAAGAACATCGGAAGGACGAGGCGAAGAGAGCGGTGAGATGGGAAGGCGCAGGTAACGAACGGAGCAAGGGCGAAAGGAGTGCATCGATGGAAAGCCGTTCGCGTTCGTGACCTTTTTATTGGAGATTCCACTAAGCGTGGCGGGCAAAGTGACGACACGCACTTTATGGTCCACAAGTGTGTGCTCATGCACACTGCATCTACAGGGGCTAGCAGATACTATATCTGGCTTGGAGACTTGGACGACAACCAAGGGACTGACCAAGCATCAACATGTATCCAAGTTCTGTGTGCGTCGCGTTACTGCCATGGTTTGGATCACAGCATGTAGACGGCAGATGCAGTGACGATACTGATACGCCTAAGGCTGATTTGAGGATAGCGATTGACGTCGAGGTGAGGTGTTTATAGAGACGATGTCGGACCTAAGAGATTGGTCCAGCGCTTTGGAGCACAAGGATGGAAGGTTGGACCTAAGAGCTCTTCTTGATGTCCTCTTCTGCGCGTCTCTATCTTAGCCCATCGAAAGGTTGGACGTGAGCACGCACCTGACAATGAACGGCAGACACGCCACGAGCGGACGACGCGGTCTTGAACTAGCAACAAATTAGAAATTCTGGATGCGTGTGTCGCACCGCCGGCGCATGACTGTCGACCGAGCAGGACCTTTGGTAACCCAAGTTACAAGCCACACACTCTTCGTTGAGATGCAATTTCACCATTTGCCTACTCTTTTGTGATATGCATGCTTTATTTCGGTCCTTCTCGTCGCACATTTACTCCACAATTTACTAACGTACCAAGACACAGCTCGCACGCACCGTGGATAATCGGTTCGTGCAAAGTCCTCGCCACTCCATATATACAGACACGTGAAAGCCGTGAAGCTGAGCACAGCACCTGCTGAACGTATATAAACTGGACGAACGTACAGGTCGTAGATATACAGCGAGCGAAGCAGAACAAGACGAATCATTTTCTGGGATTTGGACGCGAGTCTTGTTGTCCGATTGTGAAATGCTTTCGTGCATTTGTAGCGCTTTAAAGAATGAGCAATTACGACCAAAGAAATGCAAATTTGGCGTCGGTACGACCCTGTGCACGCATTCCGACAAGACGCACGCCTGCGAAATCACGACTTCATGCGTGCAGCAACGTGTTCGATGTCATCGTAGTATGTAGGACATTTTTCGCACATCAGTACGTCATGACACTGGTGACACACCTGGTCTGCAGCGAGGCGCACCTTATTCAGCTAACTAAGTAAACCTTGTACTGCTGACAGTGCAGGGGTAGTGTGCGTCCGACTACTTCACGTGCACGTATGTGCAGAGGAAGGTTGCTATACGGAGTAAGCGTACTCAGTGTAGGTAAAAAGTGGAACTGTTTTTGTATGGTAAATCCTTTTCATAAATCCCTATTTGACTTCATTTAACTATGTCTAAATACGAACAGATACTGTAACTATCTGCGCACCACTCATTACATGCTCCTGTCGTGGCTGGACTTTATTGATTTACATCTCGGTCATATATCAACCAGTGAGCAGGGGATTACATCTGCGAAGCAAAATTAGCGATTAGGATAATATTGTGAGAATATTGTATTCGTTTTAACATATTATTCATACTTAATAATTATCTTATGTGAATTATCATGTAACGGAGGCACCCCGTTACATTTTCGCCGTACAATTTAGGACCGGTAAAGGATTCTTTTCTACATCAGTGCTAGCTATTGTCGCGGGTAGGCATCGTATCAAACTGTAATTTTACTCATAGCTGTCTTAATTCTTTGGCCACTCGCACCAGCCAGTGCTGCACCCGTCATTAGATAAAGTAGAGGCATCGTACCCGTAACGGGGTGATTGTGTTACATGTAATTAACTCTGATACTTGTTGATTAAAATATCATCATAAAGGTTAGTAGTGCTTGTGAATATTACCGTATGGGGTAATATTTTAGAAACAATCATCAACTGGCTGATATGGGCCATCATATCAGCCAGCTCTAGTGGTCCAAATGACGATGGACGCGCGCAATGAGTGGTGAGAAATACTTTAGCATGCATTCTGTAGGTAAATACGGTCAATTTAGTACTAAAGTAGAGGTACATGATAGGATTTACTTATATTTTTTGTCAGGTTAAAGCAGAGGTCAATGATAGGACTTACTTATAACAATTACAGGTTCTGCCAACAACTAGCTATATTTCCGATTTCTGTCTCTTCCCCTACGTAGTTTACAGAGGTGGCGGGGCCCCACTCACACTGCTACGGTGATAGTAGCTCCATAGTTGTTAATAGTTAGTGTGTCGATCTGGTGCCCGTAACACCTGGTAGCACTTTGTAGTCTGGTCAGGAACCACATAACCCGTTCAACATGAACGTATCAGACGATAAGGTGACGACACTTTTCACGGCACCCGTGAAAGTTTCTCCTTTCTAAGTGATGTCGAATGGATTGCGGTCGAACAAACGATTTCGACCATTGGTGAAGAAGCTGTTTGGCCTCTGTTTTTTTCAAGGGATAGCGATCAGCAGCAATCCATAGTTGCCATGTCCTTGCAATGAGAACTTGACGCGTCAAGTGACCCAGCTGCATCAGCAATATCACCGGCAGACTGATCTCCTGATACAGAAACAGTCTTAGTCTGCTTTTACAGCGTCGACGCGAGACTATCAAGCTTATAAAAGCTTTTAAGTACCAAGGAGTCGAGGAAGACTATATGTTGAGATGGTTTCTCGTAGTGAATGATGCCATTCAGGCTAGCCACATCGACGACGAGGAAATGCAAGTTGAATTTGCTACAGCAAAACTGTCAGGTCGTGCCTGAACATTCGCCCTGAATCTTCAGTCATACGATACAAACGTGTATTGGATCTTTTGCGGTCTTTAAAACTATGCTTAGCCAAACGTTAAGCCGCCAAGCGCTGAGCTCAGGCCTTTTTAGAGCTCCTGAAGATAATACAATGTAAGCGTGATGTTCACGTTTACGCTCAACACATCCGCAACCTTGCAAGCTGCATGGTGGCGAACTCTGTAAGCGAACTCGTTTTGATCACGACATGCTTACAGGGCCTTGCATGTGGCCCCTTGAGTAATCACCTGTTCTGGATCAAGTTGAAGTCGCTTGAAGAAGCGACTAAAACTGTGGTGAAAGAGGACTTTATTGAGAAATAGACTCACACTAGATTGACCCCCACTTGACCTTCGAGACAATTAGATGCGGAAATGCCGGGTCGATTGGACCTCTGCATTGTCGAGAGCGAGTGCCTTCGCAATTCAAGCAGCAAAGCGATTGAAAAGGTGAAATCAATGTTGAAAGTTAGGACTCTACGCGTACGAGTGGAGTGCTTCACGCCCAGTGTCTCGATACACTGAGAGAAGTGATCGACCGACAGCCAACAAGCAAAACGGATGCGGGTCTTATACTGTTGCGGAGTCACAGCAGCGTGGTGGACCATTAAAAACGGTCGAGGTCAGTAGGATCGTAGCGCCCTAATGGTTTAGCAACCTCAGTAGAATTTGCAAACTGATTATTTAAAGTTATAACAGATTCACAATATGGTTGGGTCTCCACTGGGTAATGAGGTGCCCCTCATCACCTTGATCTTAAAATGAGTGACAAAAAAATTGTCACTTTGTGCCGTAGTTGGCTGTGTGGTGTCGAACAACTTATTTCGTCGCCAGTCGCCAGAGGATCGCAGGATCAAGTTTGTCAAGCGCACACTTCCTCCTACGAGGATGACGGTGCGCCTAGCAACAGGCGCCTCGATAGCAGAGATGAAGGTGTGGTAGGATTTCAATGAACATTAAATGATTTGCAGTACAATGATAATGCAATATGACTTAATCTATATGACATGAAATGATTTCATCCTTGATTTACCCTGGCTCAGAAGGTACGAGACAGGGTAAGCTGGCAGCATCGAACCGTGAACATGCCTTCCACATGCTCATCATATTGACCTCCGATAAACGTTTTGGAGCGTCCTAAGCGTGTGGATGTACTGCAAGTGAGTGCGCTGGCCTCTCTTGCGGTTCGGTCGTTAGTAAGACTGCACGAGACCACAGTGTGACAACCAACCACACGGTAAAGGGAGTTGCAGGCGGCTGTGTAGATGCAGAGGCAGCGCCGAAGGCCCACCACTAGAAAAAGTTGAGTGGATCAAAAAATGGATGTACGCCTAGCGGGTGACATCCAAGGCATAATAAACTGGTTGCTTACACTGGGCAACACGATGATCCTGGATCTACAGGAGAGTTGATCGTTGAGTACCTAGTTGTTGCAGCGCAACCACAGCTGGAAGAATTTGAGGAAAAATTACATACGTACTTGAGGAAAAGTCTTTTCCAGCATTTATAGATAAGTTAACGAGACTTCACCGGCCTAAAAAACAGGTTCTCAATAGCGTGTGTAAAAGAATTTCCAGGATAAAACCAAATCATTGAATGCCTAGGTCAATGATGGACCAAATGTAGACGTTTACCAACTTTATTTGACCGCTTCTCCGAAGATGACGTCAAGATCACTCATTTGCCCATGCTCAGACAGAAAGGATTATCGCGTTATCCGCATAGTGGTGCAGCCAAGCAGATTTGCGTTCTGGTCGTGGAAGACGAGTACGTGACCGATATTTCGGTCGGCAATGGTATTTGCTGAGATTAATAGAATGTTTATCAGCTCATCAATGGACGAGAGTGTTCTTGATGAGAAGACTGGGTTTATTCGGTAAACGCCCCAATTTTGGAATTTGCTTCAAGCTAATCTTTGATTTAAAGATTTGATCGAATTCAAGCACTTGTTCCTTAAATCCGTGCCATGCGAATTGCGTTAAGACAAAGGCACTCGACACAAAATCGAGCTCAAAC